ATTGCTTGATGTTAGTTGTATAATGTGATTTACATACAGTACTTCTGAGTGCTGTAATAAATTGTTCGCTCTCGCTGGGTGAACACACGAGTATTATCTTCCTTTTCTTTAAATGTCCTGAATTGTGTCTCAGAGAAGCCTGGCAAGTCTTTCCACCCAGTCAGAGGTCTGAAGAGAGTAAGTGTAGATAAAACCAGCTTGGTTAATCATCACTGAAACATAGGAAATAAATAAAATACATTTTTTGCTTGTAGAGAAAAGCAATAAAAACAATGCCAGACGGTTAATGCCTCTCTTCTACCTTTCATTTCAAAGACCTCAAAAGAACATCAAGAAGAATAAAGGCAAAATCTATTCCCTATTGGCATCATTATAAATGTTGTATCCTCTAAAACTCTAAAGACATCCAAGAAGGGTAGAAGAATAAATGGCATTGAAATAAAGAGAGTCTCTCTGGAGCTTTGTTCAATCGGCTTTGTTAGAATTCACTCAAATAGGATGATTATAAGAAAATATCTCATTTGTTTCAACATTAAAGGAGCAAATTAATATGTGGTGCGCTGCTAATAATTGCCTAATTATGTAGTGAATGGGCATTGCGTCCAACTTACAAAATTACAATCATATTGTTAAAGTAACAATTGGAGAAGTTTAATCTGAATTTCCTAACTATCTTTATGATTAGTTGTGGGATTCATGGCGTGAAGCAGAGTTGGTGGTTGGAGTGAGATCTCCAGTGCACCAGGAGCCAATAGCACTAAGAACTCACAAGAGAAACTCAGCTTTTCATTAGTGTAAATTACATCTGCGTAGGTCCTGAGCTAGATTTGGTCCAGCTGAAGAGCAGATTTGGCAGTCTCTTCTAAGACAGGAGCTTGGTGCATGACTGGTCTATCAGGATGTTGTTCTGTTGGACTCCACCAACTTGTGCAGAAGTTTTGACCAAGAGGCTGAGAGCTGACCTGAGATCACCCCAGCCAGGGACTTCAGAAGATCTACGGGTCCACGTCTGGGAAACCTGGCAATCCAGGATCTGTGCCATTGGGAAACCCACCCATACAAACGGTCCCATAGCAGGAATTTCACTCTCTTGATGGAGACCTTTGAAAACATGGGGGAGTTGCTTCGAATTGGAAAGAAAGCATTTTTCCAAATACCAGAATTCACTGTGGAAGAGAATCATGCTTTGTGACCTACTTCTACTTAGATTTGCTTGTGACCTTTTCTAATTCTGGCTGTTTTTGTTATTTAATGATTTGACCTTTGATTCTCTGAAGCCACTTCAGTGCTGAATGTAGAGATTTAATAACTAGAACTGTTTGATAAGTAACCTGTATTACACAGCTATTTCTCTTTGCTAGAGAAAAGGCACTGTTTTGCAAGTTCTAATTCACAGTTTTAATTATCTTTTCTATTGTCTGTAAGCTTGGACAGGAAATGGAAAGGTCAGACATTTCTTTTTCTTAACTGATTAAAATATATAAGTGCTTCTCAGCAGTTACAATGTATCATTCAGGAAAAGGATGGGACCTTTTGTCAGAATCATGCCCAGCTGCTCTGCTGAGGACTTCTATGTCCTTCTGCTCAGCAACAAAATGAATGATTTTCTAGAAGCAATAATAGCTCAGCTCCTGTGGTGTGTAGAGGTGAAATATGTGTCTAAATATGTGAAAAGATATATATATCTACAAAGAAAGTGAATTAAGATCTTGTGAAAGTTGCTGGTAAACCCTTAATTGATGTTCTTGATCCAGAGAACATAAACAGTAGCAGCATAGTTTTCTGTATGGTCCTGCCAGTCCATAGCAACCCCATTGCTGCTGGAACATCTCTACAGATGAGAAGGTAACCTGGGCTGCCTGCCAGACCTGTTTTTGGTTTCTCTGGCAAGGCTGCTGCTGTTAGTGTTTAACTGTTATCCTGGTGTTAAAAGTTATGGTTAATTGCAGAACAGATCACCAAGGAGGCATATTTTCTGTAATTCTCCAGTTTACATCCTTCTGTATGCTCCTTTGTGTCTGTTAGAATTGTCTCTCTGCTTCTTTACATCCTTAATACAACCAATATAGCAAGTTAAATGCAAAACTGATATGTAAAAAGTTTCTCATACAGGTTAGGGCTGTTGTGGACAACCTTACAAGCCAAAAATACGTATACGGGAAAAGGGTTTGCAGGGTGTATGACCCCAGAGTGTGGGATGAGGGGAGACACCACGACATCGCTCCAGCTCCTCAAGGATCATAAGGAACTTTCAGCTGTGTCCTAGTTCAGTGACAGAAGTAACAGCCATAACTACCCAGGTGCTTCCTAATTGCAATCCCTTGGGCACTCAGATCCCTGTGCCTGAATAGCTCCTATGGGAGCCACCTAGCAGAGGAGCTACATTTAAGCAGCTTTTGAGTCTTAATGTGATGGGACAGCCATACCTGAGTGAGGGTGTAATAGCAAACAGGAATGTCATATTAAATGAGGAAAAAGAAAACTAGGCTACTGAAACTGCCCCTTTTGTCTGTGACATTTATAAACCAACACCTCAAGCTGCTGGCCTGTCTCTGTATGGGGGTTCGATAAATGAATATGGATGTCTGTCTTATGTCGAGAATGATGTGATGCTAAAAGATACTGAAATCAGTGGATGATTCTGCAGTCAGTGTAATGTCAGTCATGGGTGTCAGTCTCCTAACTCTGTCTGGTATGTCTGTTGGGAAATATGCATATTAGGACACGTAAAATTTGTTGTGAAAAAAAAAATTATGCTGAGATGGGGCTGGGAGGGGTTAAGCCTCTGCCTCTATTGAAGAAGAGGAGATTATATGTTGACCTAGTGCAGGCATTCAATATTATGAAAGTGCTTTATAAATTGGAACAAGATAAATGAATCACAAAAAAAGAGCTAGAAAACTGGGAGACACAATTGCAGGAGTGAGTGTACTCAGTTTATTCAAGCAGAACAGTTACACTCAGTGAGTAGAAAATGTGCAATGCATTTCTAACTAAGGTCAGAAAATCAAACAATATCAAATTTAAGAGAGAAGATGCATTTTAATGGAGAAAGAGGAATACTGGAAAAACAAAACAAAAAACAAAACAAAGAAAAGCAACAACAACAAAACCAAAAACCACACAAACCCCCCCCCCAAAAAAAAAAAACAACCCAAACCCCTCAAACTCAAAATACCCTCAAAACACTGATGTTGAGACACATTTTAATGGGACCGGATTCTTGACCAAATTGGATTTTCCAATCCAGTAATTTTATATTCAGCTTTTGTTAGTTTGCAAGTTCACCCTGAAAACTATAAATTAATCTACTGGGATTTTTACAATTCACTTCATGTTAGTTTCTGAGTTATGCTTATGGATTTGTTTAGGTCACCCAGCCATGTCCTCATAATGTATCTTAGAGAGGATTTCTGGAACTAAGCAGCAAACAGAAAGACTGTTGTGTTCAGATGCATCTCCTGGGATTTCATCCCTGCTGTCAGAGAGCTATGCAGGACAGCTCTCTAAGACTGTAAGAGCTATAAAAAAATACACGGTGTTCTGTAAAGGAAACATTGCCAATACTTTTCTTTGCAGTCAGGCATCTTTAACCCCTGATGAAATAAGGATAGAACATTTTCATGAACCACTCACAGAGAGAAATCAAACCTTTGCAATTATGAGATTTATTGCAGAAGTCTTGCAGGATGCACTTTAACTCAGTACAATATTTGTCACCCAAATACGAGAGATATTAACTGTTACAATTTGCCTTTTTTCAGATGTTTATCTCTGGTTCTTATATTATGCACCATTATGACAAAAATCTGATGTTTTGCCAGCCACCATGTCCTAAGGTTATAGTAGTTAAATTTAGTTAGGATATTAATCCACATCAGCTAAATGAGGTGTGATTTTGAATGTAAATAACCACAGGTCTGATCAGAAAAGCACCAAGCATCCTGTCAGACAAAATGTCCAAAGAATGTGAAGGGAATTATTCCTAACAAACATTAAACAGAAGTCATTGGCTCCCAGCTGGGAGGTCCATGACAGAAGATTAAGTCTGTAACCATAGAAAAAGCAGTAGATGATCCGTGACCTGGATCATCATCTATAGTTTGTTTTTTTTATCATTAATCTAGTTTTCATTTGATTCAGATTTCTCACCAAACTTTTCATATGATTTAACTTAAATACAGGGCATTTCCTTTTAGTCTGTTTGTACAAAAGAACCAGAAGACATTTACTATTTTTACTGTAACAAAGGAAACATCAGATAGGTCCCAATGCCTGTTAGATAACTCTTCCTATTTTAAAGTCATACTGTAGAACTAGTACCATAGAATGTGCTCAGGAAATACTGGTTTTGACTTCAGTTTGGCCACGATTAAGTTTGTAGTTCACGTGTCACCAGTCCATCTGCCTCTCATTTTTCATGGGTCATAACTGTTCTCTGGAGAGAACAATGTATTCCTCTGTCTACATCTCCTCTCCAGCTGCAGGATTTTCATGCTACTGGATTGCTTTAGAGTTAGAGCTCATATTTGACTTTTGTCACAAATCTGGAAACTATTTATTTAGATACATAATGACAGTCAGTGTATAGTTAAGTTTCCAGGATTACTTTTTCCTGTATTTTTCCTACCTCTTACTAAAAAAGAAAAGGCATTGATCTAAATATTGTTTTCCTCTGCTTCTTTATTTCGTTGTTTTGTAGCGGAAGGAGTAACATTTAGAGGAAAAAAAAAAATTATTATTTTTCTAATAGAGTTTGCAAAGTGGAGAACAAAGGAAAATATTGGAACTGCCACCTATTTCGCTAAAAAGAATTGCATTCAGAGCTCTGTAGTGGCAGAGTTTCTATCAGCTCTACCATGTAGAGATTGTTAGGTTTTTTAAAATGAAGCATTGCTATGAGTTTCTTGGGCTATGCACATCTTTATTTTAACTGAATTTTCACTTGTCGTGTTTTACAGGGAAAGATTTGCCATATATTTTTGTTTTCTTTCTTCTAGCCTCTACAACTTGACTGTGACTTCTGTGCCATTGTTTCAAACTCGGGACAAATGGCTGGGCAGAAGGTGGGAACTGAGATAGACAAGTCCTCCTGCATATGGAGGATGAACAACGCTCCTACAAAGGGCTACGAGGAGGATGTTGGGAAGAGGACAACTGTAAGAGTGGTCTCTCACACAAGCGTGCCTCTCCTACTCAAGAATCCTGAGTACTTCTTCAAGGAAACCAACAACACTGTTTATGTGATCTGGGGACCTTTTCGAAACATGAGGAAGGATGGCAATGGCATTGTGTACAACATGCTGAAAAAAACTGTGGAGAGCTACCCAGCCGCCAAAATCTACGTGACAACAGAAAAGCGCATGAGTTACTGTGATGCGGTGTTCAAGAGGGAGACAGGAAAAGACCGGTAAGTCCTACACATGAAGAACAATTATAATGTTTGACAAAAGATACATGAGAGAAGTCCATGCTGGATGCCAGCTACTAAATGAGTTCCCAGATATGTTTTAATGGATTGTTATATGGTTTTGACTGTTATAAGCACTTGATGAGGCAGCAGCTAGGCCCATTTACCCCACCTACACTACCTTCTGTTCTTTCTATTTCTGCTGGCTTGAGTCCCAAAAATATTGGATGTCTTCCTGAAATGTTTTTGAAGCTGTGTGTTGTTTTCAGCTCAATTTGCTATTGATTAAATTGACATTTTATTTGAAGAGGATAATCCCACACAAATAACATTTCCAAATGCACAACCTCAGGATAACTTTGGATATTATCTTCTCTGTTGAGATTCACTGTAGCTTTTCTTCAAACACAAACTGAAGGGTTGTGCATTATTTCTGTTTCTTGGTGAAAAAGGACTATCAGTGATACTGTAATAGATTTAGGTTTTTACCAGAATTATGCTGAAATTCTGTTTTCCATGCCTGACAAAGTGTGTTTATTCTGCTTAAGTGGGGACTGTGAGAAGATGAAAGTGCGAGGGCCACTGTTTTGGCCAGCATGTTTAGAGCAGAAAACTGGATTTGTGGAATTAAGACCACAATTTTCAGGATTTAGTAACGAAGCTGAGAAATATCTGTGTTTTGGCACGGAAGAGCACCTGTCACATACTCACTGGAGCTAATTAGGAAGAAGTTTCCAGATCTGTGCTGTGCCTTAGTATTGATTTTTGAATTTGCACATCACAGATTTGCAGTTGTGCAGGTTTATAGCTATTCTGACCAAATTAAAAATACAGATATTCAGTAACAGTTTAACTTAGTCTGAACTTGTGACTTAGCTTTTGAAGTAGAAGAGCTTGTTCCCTCAAACTTCCTTGATTCACTTTGTTATTAATCTGTCAAAACTTGGTTAAAGGTGATTTTTCATTTTCTAAAACTACTGAAACATAGGAAAGGATTTGCCACTCAGCATTTTCACTATGTGCACATATTGCTGCTGTGATTCTGGAGTCAGAGGGAGCTCCTATATGTCATAAGATGTCAAGGTTGTAATGACTGTTTTAGTTTAACTGACCAAGCTGGTGAACTAATTAAGAAAAAACACAACATGCAGTCTTCAAAAGTCATCTGGTTTATATATTAATCAAATTAAATATAATCATGAGTACATTATTGCATTGTTAAACATAAATTTGGTTATGGCTCTTCCATGTTAACAGTTAGTCAGGTCACAGTGACTTTAAAATACTTTATCAAAATACTTATTGTGTGGCCAAACTTTATATATCCTATCAAAAAAATCTCACAATCCAATGTCAAAAAATCCCCATCTCCAGTCTAATCCATTCCTTTTCAACAAACTACCACATCTTATTATTATGCAATTAACACAATACAAATGTTCTTTCCATGTCAAAGGCAAATTGAACTTCTGTTCTCCCAGTACTTATGAACAAAGTCCTCATGCAGCCTAGTGTCAAAGTGGCCCAATTTCTTTCTCCTTAATCCTTAATTACAGCAACTTAAAGCTTCACATTGCCAACAGGGGCAAAGAGCCTGCCTTGTAACCCACATCACATGGAGTTTGTATGTACCTCCCTTTAACACTGTGGAAAAAATCCACTGCTTCTCACTGTGGCATTTGTATAACGTCCTTTTATCTACTGCAGCTTTCATTTTTAGTTCTACTTTTCCACACTGAATACTAAGTAGGTTTTTTTATTATCATTTAGTGCACTTGTCAGCCAGAAACAAGGGCAACAATTAATGTGTCACCGAACAACACCTTCTCTATCACAGGAAACACCCTGCAGCTCCCTACTAAACTGGGGACCTCTGTTTCAAAACTGTTTCATGTTCTGTAACATCCTTAATTCACAGGACCTGTTTGCATTTTCTAGGGAGGGTCATGAGACTGTTAGAGGGATTTGGCATTTGTGGAAGCAGTAAAGAGAGAGCAGAGGAGATTTGTGGGTGATGAAAATAGTTATGTGCATTGTGCCAGACCATTGTGATGCTGAGACAGACTCAGGTTCCTCAGCCAAATATTCCTTCAATTCCTCAGAGAAACATCAACTCTTGCTTGCAATATTAGATTGAACAGAGGTCTGTTTGAACATGTCCCTAGCAAAAATTCTGGAAGGAAACCAAGTTCAACTCATATCTAAAATGTACTGGATGGATTGTAACCACATCTATTTTAGTTTAATCCTAAAATACTATCCTTATGTACAGTGTATTCTACTAATGCATAGTAAGATTGCAACAGATTTCTAGTCTGTCAAGCCTTTAATCAGTTTTATATTTCTTCTCTTTGATGTACCATCTTTTTAGGTAATTAGTGGGACTTCTCAGTAGTCTCATCCTAGTGGTGCTCAAGTTTTAAAGCAAGTTATGAGAAGGTATTTGCTGCAGTCACTTCTCTACTGCAGAACACTTTCATCCCTGACTTCACTGACTGCAGGTTCAAAAGCCACAGCATTGTTATTGACAAATAGTTTATTATTGTTTCATGGAAGAAACAAAAATTGCCTCTAAATAATGTCCAACAAACAAGTTTGTTTATTTCACAGTGAAACATTTTTAATTTCTATAACAGTACAAAATACCCTCTGATGTGAGCTGTCCACACTGGAGAATTAACCTTGCATGCAGTGCTATGAATTTGGGGGAAATATGTTCTTTCTGAGAGGCTTTATTAAGTGAAGCATTTGACTTCAAGTTGGTGAATGCTCATCCACTTATAATAATTGTACATAAATAATATTCATTACCAGACATTCACAATTATTCATTTATGCATTTTACTTGGTACTTCTCTAGAGAGAGCATAAAGCTGGCAGCTTCTTCCAGTACTTCACTGGCGTTTTGACATACTATTTGTATTTAGTCAAGTGAAAGGATTTAAAGAAACATTAGGTAATAGCTAAATGTGGCATATTTGTGTGTACCTCAATCCAGGTAAGTGTTTCTAAATCCATCTGTATCTTTGTCATGCTTTAGAAATATAATGTAGTATGATATAACAGCATTTAATTGGTAATAACAGAGAAAACTGTAGTCTTCATTAAAGCAGCAGAGCTAATTCTGGTCTGATAAAGTGCACTGAACAGCCCTAAATAGGTTTTAATTAGCTGGCACCAAAGCTGCACCACCCTTAGGGAGGGTAAAATTAATGAAAACTAGCAGCAAATAGATCAATGCTACTGGATGTTATTGCCTTAGGTGAAGGTGATGAGGAAGAAAGCAGTGTTTTTTAAGGATCATTTAGAAAACAGTCTGTGCTAAAAGTCACTTTCAAAAAGCAGTGTTAAAATAAATGTGTGCTAATATCAGTGAAACAGTCTAATGTCATCCAGACTGCAGACTCCATTTGTGTTTATGCCACAAACATCCTAGACTAATCACTCAGCCGAGTATTTCTGATGGCCCAGCTCCACATCCCCTCCCAAGGCTGGTGGTGTGACCAGACTGCTCCTGTCCCACTGCTCCTGGAGGACGTTGAGCTCCAGCAAACAGCCAGTAACACATGTGCTGATACCTCTCAAAGCACAGCTCAACTTGGTGTTTGTAGCCACTTTTACAAATAACTACCAAAAAGAGCTTGCTGAGCTTGGCTGAGAAGATGTATTCTGAGCTCCTAAGAATCCCATTAAGAGACATGAGATCACATTGTGAAACCCAGCCAGCTTGGTAGACAATTGTCTTCCACACACTGTCTTAACTCTGTCATCACCCATCCCATACCCAAACAATTCAGTTGAATTCAACAACATTTTTTGGAAATTATTACATTTATAAGCATGTCCACCAGCAGCAGGTTCACTCAGCCACATTTGCAGTCAAATGGCTGATTCTGCAGGATTTTTGTTACTATCTTGGACAATTCTAAATAAACAAAATAGTTGTTATGCCTCTTTCCAGAAGTTCTTCATTTCCTCTGTTCATGCCAGATGGTGCTATGTGTTAGGTAGTGAGAAAGTGAAAGTTTTCTCATTCGAGGCAGAAAGATAGATCATTCTGATCATTGGCTTCTGCACCAAGATTCAAAATTTGGGGTGTACTCAACCTGCTATTTTATTCAGTTCTGCTCACAAATTATTTACTACTTTGGTGATATACAAGATCTGTATTATATCTCTGTCATTTAGAGCTAGCAATTATATTCATCTAAAGTCTGGATTGACACTGTTAGACAACTGCACTCATCACAGCTTCACCTCAGCTAATGTGGTTTTTGATGTGTCTGACTAATCTACATGAAGCTGCAGTCTAGTAAAAATGTCATTGAAATGAATAAATGAGATTACTTCCTCTGAGTTTGAAGTACCTGCATCTTCTATTCAAGAGCACTGGAACAGGCTGCCCAGAGAGGTTGTGGAGTCTCCTTCACTGGAGACATTCAAAACCCGCCTGGACACGTTCCTGTGTGATGTGCTCTAGGTGACCCTGCTCTGGCAGGGGGGTTGGACTAGATGATCTTTTGAGGTCCCTTCCAACCCTATGATTCTATGATTCTATTGTTTGGGGATGTTCTTTGTAAATGGAGGTAGTAAAGCTGTCAGTAGCCAGAACATCAGCATTTTATGCCATATTTCTGATTGTTGGCTTGAATGAAATATGATAGTTATGCTATTTATACTTGCTTACACATGCCTATTAGTTTCCCAACCAAGACCATTCAGAGAAAATAAAAATCTTAGCTACTGTTAGGTGATATTTGCAGAAAGCAGTTTTTAATTAGGGAGGTGTGAACATTGACAGTGAATCTAGCTCAGAGAGTTAGATTTTGGGACTCGGGAGTTACTTCCCATCAGTGCTTTGTACTAACATGATTTTTCTCAAAAGAAAAAAAATAATTCTGGAAGATGAGTAAAAGTTTGCTTAATTTTGAAAGGAAAATGAGCAGAGTTAGAGAACACCAGCATCCTTAGATTACAGAAGTTTTGAAAGAAAATGATGG